AAAGAAGAGAGAGAGAGAGGAGGAGAGGAGCAAGAGAGAGAGAGAGAGAGAGAGAGAGAGAGAGAGAGAGGAGAGAGAGAGCGAGATAGATAGATATAGATAAGATAGAGAGGAAGATAGATAGAGAGAGAGATAGATAGATAGATAGATAGATAGAGAGATAGGTAGATAGAGAGATGATAGATAGAGAGATAGATAGATAGAGAGAGGAGAGAGAGAGAGAGAGAGAGAGAGAGAGAGAGAGAGAGAGATAGATAGATAGATAGATAGATAGATAGATAGATAGACAGATAGATAGATAGATATGAGAGAGATAAAGATAGAGATAGAGAGAGAGAGAGAGGGCTGAAACCCTGTTGTATCACGAGTGACAGAAGACCAAGAAAGCAACGCTATCCCGGAACACAAATCTAGTTCCCACAGGAACAGTATCTCTGGCACGTCCAGTGATGGCAACCCCCTAACCCTGCGTATCAGCCCTATATTACCGTAAACATAGAGTATTGCCGTACAAGTAATATAGGTATCCCACATGGTAAGGTAAGCATGTCAGTAATATTTTCGTATAAGTATTGCATAAGTTTGCTGTTTCTGCGCATGCGTTAAAATCCCGCGTGTGTTGGCGACGATGACAGCGTCCCCTGCTGGCACAGAGCGCCGATGAACCCGGAGCGCGCCACACACACACACACACACACACACACACACACCTGTTGTGGGGCAATAATGGGATCTTTTATATGTACAGCCTTCCCCCCTCTCTCCACTCTCAGCGTATAATCGCTCGTTTTCCTGCTCTGACAAACTAGTTATTTTGTCCGTAGTAAACGGGAACAGCATGACTTGCAAGGGCCAGTGGGTCTTGAAACTTGTAACTAGGGCAAAAATATAGGCGAAACGATGTCAGTGGGAATCTCACTATATGATGGTTTCGTTTAAGAATATTTATGCATCCATTTATAATAGGTTTTACTTTATTTTATAATACGATCGTGATCGTACGATTGTCGTAATCGTTTGTAAATGTTTATACGATAAAGGTAATAAATTTCCCTGTGTGTTAGTAAGGTTTATCGTTACACGTTGATAGCGTATTTTTTGTCGCTTTGATAATAGCCATTCTCGACCATCGAAAATGTGTTTTCCCACGTTTAGAAAATATTTCTCCTAATTTCCCGTCAGTAATGAGCTTTTCGCGTGTTCACAACGTCTCTTCTCACCCATTTTATGTTCGGCATTTTCCCACATTTACGACCCATTTTGATCGCACACGCACGCACAAAGCAAACTGTTGTTCCAACAGCAGCAGCAGCAGCAGCAGCATCATCACCGCTCCCCCATTCCTCCAAGCGAGAGTCAAGGACACGTCAGGTCATACAACGTGCGACCCCGTCCGTAATGCGACTGAAAGTTCGTCTGCATGTGACGGAAAACGTTAAATCGCCATCATCATCGTTGTCGCCGGCAGCGGATGATAGAAGGCGGCTGTGCGCAGGAGGTGCAGAAACAGCAGACGAAAACACGGGAAACAGAAACAGATGAGAGCACGGGAAACAGAAGCAGACGAGATCACTGGGAAACAGAGGCAGACGAGATCACAGGGAAACAGAGGCAGACGAAAATAGAAGCTAGCCAGACGATGCGATTGACTTTTGTTGAGCGACTGAACATTCCGCAGTGTCACTGTGGCGTTATATACGGCATGATGACGGGTCTATGAGGACAGACCCGGCGGCTGTACATTGTCGTACCCCTCCCAAGGCTGCTATCTCACTTACCCTCATTCTCTATCTCTTTTTATTTCCTAATCTTGCTCTCCCCTTCACTGTCTTTCATTCACTTTCTCGTTATCTCCCCCTTCTCCTCCTCGATTTTTCTCTCTCTCTCTCTCTGTCTCTCTCTCTCTCTCGCTCACTGTCTCACCAAATTTTCGCTCGCCCACTCTCTCACCATTTCGCTTTTACCCTTCCTGTCTCTCTCCCTCTCTCACTCAATCTCCCTCTCTTTTTCCTCTACTCCTCCTTCTCCTCGCTATCTCTATCCATCCCTCCCCCTTCCCCACACTCTTGGTTCCTTTAGCCTCACCTTCTCTCATCGTTCTTTCAACATCTTCGCCCAGACACCGCCTTCTTCTTCTATAACTAATCCGATCACCGGGCGTTTAGCGATTATCTCACGCATTCCCGGCACCCGGTCACCGACTCATGATCTCCCTCAATCAGCGACTTGACATAGTCGCGGACGCAGGCGCAGTTACAAGGCAGGCGTTAGTAAGTGTGCGTGTCCGCCCAACGAGCCATGAATGGTTGTGAATGACATTCCCGCTCGCGTGCTCGCACGGAAACGTCACCGTGGGCCGAATTCCTCAACAGTAGCAGGCTTTCATGGAAGCGTGCTGCCACCGTCGGTGTACGCGGCTTCAGCGCCACGTGGCGGCCGTTCGGCTTACTAACGGTCTTGTGCATCTCCTCGTCTTTCCACTTCTTAAACAGCTTCGATATCAGCTGCAAATATACACACAAGCCGATGTTACTCTAGCGCCATCTATAGGTCACTCTATTAACTAACAGGCGGAACCCACGCGGATCACGCGACCCCTGACGGTCACTCTTATGACTAACATTAAAACCCCACGCGATGCTCACACCCCTCGAGGCTACTCTATTGCATAACAGAGAGAACCACTGATCTGTATATAATAACACATTATTTATAGGTAGATCAATGGGTAAAAAAATGATAAAAAACGGGAGTAAAATCATTGATCGAATTGAATTGATTGAATTGATGAGATGATTGAATGTTCGCTGGATTATGTTTCGCTTGTTTATCCAACAAGATTCTTCGTCAAAGTTCTGATCAACCTTTGCATGTCAGGAAGGAGAGAGTTACTTTTAGGCCCGAACCTACGATCTATCAGTTACAGAGAAGATGAATTATATGAGCTTACGTACCGGGTTTTTACTGCCGATGAGTAAATCAACGACGTCCAGTCTCAGTGTGTCTCTGTTCTTGTCTAGAAATCCGTCAACCTGTGGAAAAGAGCGACATCGTCAACACAAGCGTCATCGTCGTTGCTGTGCATCATCACCGTCGTCGTCATCGCCATCACGGTCGCCGTTTTCGTTAACGCTCATCATCATCATCATCATCATCATCATCGTCGTCATCATCGTCATCATCGGATTTTTAACCGTTGTCGCCATTTCATTCTCGTAATATTACAACAATTTTATGAAATTACGATAATATACCCGAATATTACGACATATTACCGAATATAAATAAATAAAAAAAATGAAAATTTGTAGAGTAGAATAGTACAACTATTTTACGAAATTACGACAATTTTTTGCAGTAATATTCCCCGCGCACGATTAACGCGTGTAAACGAATATGAATAAAAAAGAACAAAGGAAAATTTGTAGATGTAAATCTGATTTAGGCGAGGCGTTTACGTTGAGAGTTGACGCGTTCATGTATACGTACGTTGTACCAGACGTTGCCAGCGTAATGCCTTACGGCAAACTCCGGTGCCGACATGCGGGGCCTACTGTACAGATCCGTCGTACTATGGTTGAAGTGACACTTCTCCAGAAAGCTGACGTTCGTTGCCTGACGAAGCACAAGCGGTGGTCGATAAATGCATTGTAGAACCAGCGTAATAAATCACAACGATAGAATGTCGTAATCAAGAAGCAGGATCTCGGTGACGATTGATGACAGCCGCGCGACAACGCGATGATAACCAAGAGAGAAATTTTTTTTTCAAACGGTATCGCAAAATAATAACAGCGTCGTTCGATTAATCGCTTCACACGGAGAAGAAATTGGGACAGAAATGAAAGACAAGACGATTAAAAGTAACATGCGCGTCTATCATAGGATGTCGCAAACGGATTCCCATCATGCGGTCGTGTGTGAAATATTTAGGCTTTTTATGACAAAAGAAATAGTAGCTCTAAAATGGCGGATGAAACCGAGGAACAGCATTAGGCGGACGAAGAGAAATCCTGACGCGAATGGCGCCGTCGTGAAATATTTAAGCATATCCTTATCATTTTCATCGCTAATCCTCTTTTGTTTTTTCCTCGCAACATACAATATTCATCGGTAACATCGCTTCGTGTCGTTGCAGGCCGATGCACTCAATCTGACAGGAAAAAAAAGTCACGATCGATCGTCGGTAGAATGTCAGCGCTCACTTACCTTAGGGAAGTTACTTTCATCGTCGAGGATGTGTAAGATACCGATAGGTTTCTTTGCGATGAGGTCGATGCAAGCCTAGAACAGGAGCACTCTGTCACGTTAATAACATCATTGCGAGAAGGTTATTATATTAGTCAGCATGAACGCATATAATATCATTATAGATTCTTCACTCACTATATAGTATAGTATATTGTATAGTCACATATAGTGTAGTATATATTAGTCACCTATAGTGTAGTATATATTAGTCACCTATAGTGTAGTATATAGTAGCGCTTCCTATGTAGATAGTAACAATTATAATTTCAGAGAATATCATTTTCGTCACTCGAATGTGGTTAACAAGGATCGTGCGTCAACGTGCTTAATACTGTTTATGTGTTAACGCGTATAATGTTTTTACATAATAATGAATGAAAGTGGTTAGAACATTAATACAGTCGGTGTCTTAACACAGTGAGTATGGCAACACAACACAGTCGGTGTGTTAGTACAGTCGGTGTGTTAATACACTCGATGTGTTAATGCAGTCGGTGTGTTAACACAGTAGCGTATTAATACAGTCGGTGTGTTAATGCAGTCAGTGTGTTAACACAGTAGCGTATTAATACAGCCGGCGTGTTAATACAGTGGGTGTATTAATACCGACAGCATGTTAATACACTCGGTGTGTCAATGCAGTCGGTGTGTTAACACAATGACCTATTAATGCAGGCGGTGTGTTAACTCGTTCTTCGCACTCAAGTTCGCGCTCAGCGTTAAACTTACCCGTTTGTAGTGCTTGCGTGTCTTGTGCATGCGATACTGCGCCTGAGCTTTCTGAAAACCGCTCATCATCTTGCGATATTTCTGCCTGTATACGAGAGGAGAAGGTTAGGACAGAGGTCAGCAGCAGTAGGTATGCTGTGTGGAGGCGGAATATTGTCTATAATTGCTCAGACTTAAACGCAAAAAAAGAATTAAAATTCTCATACGAAATTGTATATAAGAGAGAGTGAGAAAGGGCGTGTATGTGTGTGTGTGTGTGTGTGTGTGTGTGTGTGTGTGTGTGTGTGTGTGTGTGTGTGTAAAAGAGCAAGACAAAAAGAAAGAGAGTGAGATGGAAGGAGGGAGCGAGAGAGACACAGATAGGGACTAAGAGAAAGAGATAGAGCGATAGAGAGACAGAAATATAGAGAGAAAGAGAGTTAGAGGTAGAGATACCGAGAGAGCGAGACCGAACGAGAGGGAGAGGAGAAAAGGCAGAAAGATAGAGAGAGAGAGAGAGAGAGAGAGAGAGAGAGAGAGAGAGAGAGAGAGACAGAGAAAAGAGAGAGAGAAAGAGTGAGAGAGAGAGAGAGAGAGAGAGAGAGAGAGAGAGAGAAGGGGGAATGTTTAAGCATGGTATAAACGTATCAAATACAAATACACGATCATCAGCAAGATAAACGCAATATCGAATACGAGCTTGTTCAATATTACGCCTACATAACCACGCTAATCATGCACGCACCTCTGCTGGTGACCTCTGACGGCCGCCTGTATCGTCACGGCCGCTTCCTGTTTCCGGTAATACTCCTTCCGTGCCAGATAGCCGCGCGCGTACTTCTGTAGCGTGAGCGCCACCTTGCGGAGCTTTCGCACCCTTTCCTTCTCGAGGGCGTGTTCCAGCCGCTCTCGCATGAAGATCTGCAACAGATGAAATATGTATACAGGTGTGTGGGAGTAGTAGGTCTTCGTCTTCGTCTTTTTCTTCTTCTCGGGTCACTACACTACACTCGACTTAGCCACTGCAGCACACAGGACTTAGCACGAGGTCTTCTTCTTCTTCATATTTTTTTCTTCTTCTTCTTCTTCTTCTTCTTCTTCTTCTCGGGTCATTACGCTACACTTGACCTAACCACTGCAGCACACAGGACTTGGCACGGTGGTTGAAAGCCTTAAGGTCTCCAGGTCTACAGGGCTCTGGTAATAGGGGGCATTCCAGGAGATGTTCCTTTCGACTGGGGTAGTAGGTAAGAGGGAGGAGTGGTAGCAGGATACAGAGCATATATATACCCGCACAGGTTGTGTGTATTATTTATTGCTCCGGCGGGGATATCAGAGATTCATTTCTTACTTCTGCCTTACTTACTGTTACCTTCACCCTAACCCGTCTCCGCCCTATCTGATTATGTTACAATTACTACAACCCCACTATCAATCTAGCGCTCTCTTTCTGACTGTCTCTCCTCCTCTCTCTTTCTCATCTTATGCTTCTTTCTGTTCTCGGTTCTGTTACTCACTCTCTTAAGTCGCTCTGTCCTCTTGCTAGAATCATCGAACCATCAGCCAAAATATAACCATGTGGATTCTACGTTTGTATCGAGGTCGTTAAATCGACATTCTGTCAAACAATCCTAAAATGTTCTGACATTTTAGTGATTCAGAACGGGGACCATGACACTTCATGAATTTCTAACTAAACGTTTTTATAGCGAGCGGGCGAGGTAGCGAGAATGGGAAAGACATGGCAAGTGAGTAAGTCAGACAGATTGAGAAAGAGGGCATAAGAGAAGGAGAAGGAGAAAGAGAAAGAGAGAGAGAGAAATATCGAGAAATAGAGAGAGAGATAACCGCGTAAACGCGAGGGAAGGCGGAGAGAAAAAAACCGGGGGAAGAAAAAATTATCAACGGCGGCAGCGACTGCTTTAGTTCTAGTTGTAATTCACGCCGAAAGATGGCGCTACTCGCGCGCATCGTCTGCGCTGCGCGTGCATACAAACCTTGCTCTCTCCGAGCTGGTACTGGTCATGCGACACGCCCTTGTACTTCTTCAGAATCTTGGCGCATACGTCACGGGAATGCTTCCTCTTCTTCGGCGTCTTGTGCAACAGAAGGCGGTACCTACGAGGAGGAACGGTGAGGGTATTAAACACGGATCACATGCGCGCTATACTTCATGTAGTATGACCGGGAGTGCATAATATAGACTTCATTCAGACTATATTAGTATTCACCACACACAAACCACGCACACACACACACACACCACAACACACCACAACAGGCCACCACAGCCAGCACCGCCACACACAAAACCAGAGCGGCCCACACACACGCAACACAACACACACACACACACAGACACAGCACACCACGCACGCACGCGCGGGCCGCGTAGCACAACACAGAGCTGATAACAGTCATATATAATCTATATATCGCAATATATACATTATATTCTAATTATATACTATATACTTCTGGTATCACGAGGAAGCTATATACCGTAAAGTGTTATTAGTGTGTGCACGCATGCACAGGCACCAGAGCATTACACATACAGACTGTTCGGATTAAAAGAGAAAACGTCTGTGGCCATTAAATCTGGACAGGATCGGCGAAATACGAGGCCTAAAATAGAGTGAAGATAGCTATATTATATAATATATATACTAGTAGTTTATATATATATTCTAATGTGAATGATCGCTCTTGGTCTGGTGCCTAGGTTTTATAGTGTAATGATGCATTCCTGCACACCGGCCAGCACTCTATGAGTCAAGAGTTTCAAGAATATAAGGTCATAATGAGGTTAGCATGAGGTCAATTATAGTCGTTTCGAAAGGAATTGTATGTTTCAACGTATAGGAAGTATCGTCATATATCTCTGTCAAGGGAGTTGCAGCTGCGGCGATAAGTTTTACATATATCATATTTGACGTAAAACGCATATAATGGAGGTATGGTGGGTAAAAAAAGAAAGTAAAAATAACGAACAATGGAATTAAAATCACTTCCTAGAGAAAAATGATCGGGCATATATCAGCGTAATGAAGCCAAACATCGATAAAATAAATTCAAACATACGATGCAATTAAAACGTCGATGAAGATGAAGAGCAATTGACGAATGATAAAAAGAGTCAACTTCATTGAGGCGGAATGAATAAAATATTAAATTATTATCAAAAATAATAATATCATAAAAATATAATAATCTAAAAATTATTAAAAAGTAAATTATTTATACTAAAATATATAATTTGTCACTAATTGAATTAACTATCTCCCTACCTGGAACGAATTGCGAAGGAATTGTATCGGATCGGTATCTCGTAGGTTTTCGCGATGCGGATGTTTCGAGCATGCCAGAGTAGCGTAGTTGGTGCAGTACACCGTAGAGCATGTCGAACAACATGGAACTTTCTCACAGTTCGGCTTCAGACGCGCAGCGAACACGGGTTGCAGCATCTGGATAGAGAAGGAGGGAAGATGAGGGTTAGGGTGAATACGTGAGGTGAAAGCCAACTACCGCTCCGTTCTGTCGATTTTCGCGGGCGAGCGGCCGCTTCTCTCACTTCAATGTCTTCTCTTCTTCGGTCTCTTTGCCTGCCCGCGCTCTCTCTCTCAGAGAGGAGTCCGGTCTCTCCATCGCTCTCTCTCTCGTACTATGTAGATGTTGTGTGTGTGTGTGTGGTGTGCGTGTGTGTGTGTGTGTGGAGTGTGTGTGTGTTTTTGTGTGTGTGTGTGTGTGTGTGTGTGATGTGTATGTGTGTGTGTGTGTGTATGTGTGGTTGTGTGTGTGTTTGTGTGTGATGGTTCTGTCGTGTGTGTGTGTTCGTCGTGTGTGTGTGTGTGTATGTATGTGTCGTGTGCCGGCGCGTGTGTTATGTGTGTTGTGTGCGCCGGCGAGCCAGTGCACTGTGTGCACGAAGTGTGGTGGTGTGTGTAATGGATGGATGGGTCGTGTGTGTGGTGATGTGTGTGTGTGTGGTGTGTCGTGTATGTGTGGTTGTGTGTGTGTTGAGTGTGTGTGTGTGTATGTGTGATGTGTGTGTGGTGTGTGTGTGTGTGTGTGTGGTGGTGTGGTGTGTGTGATCGTAGTGTGTACTGGTGTGCAGCGGTGGGTGTGGGTGTGTGTGTGTGTGTGATGTGTGTGTGTGTGTGCTCTCGCCGGATCTTTGGTATCCTGCGGCGCATCGTCTGCCTATTCTCTGTCGATTTCGCTTTTCTTTACGGCGAAGCGCCGCCGGTCAACCCTTCCTTGTCTTGTGCTCGTCGGTTCTCGCCTCCCTCTTCGCGGCTTCAATCTACTGTTATTACTCCTCCTTCTCTCGCCCACTCACTCTGTCTTGTGATTAGCTTGCACATGGCTACTGCCTCAGTCGTTCGCCTATTACTCTCTCTACAAAACACTTAACTAAGACCATTCTGTTTCATGCAGA